AAAGATTTACTGTGAGTATAAAGAGAGACATCACCACTCCTCTCCTCAGCTAACACTGCCTAGTGTGAAACATATGACCCGATATCATGTGTCACAGATACATCTATACCATATTCATGTCTTTATCAATCTGTATGAAGGCATCAAGTGCCCCCTCAGTCAATTTGAGGACAGGTAGAAGTGTTGATCTGCTTGAGAATAGGAAGGCTCTGCAGAGGGATCTGGACAGGCTGGATTAATAGGCCAAGGCTGATGGTATGAGGTTCAACAAGGCAAAGTGCTGGGTCCTGCACTTGGGTCACAATAACCCCATGCAGCACTACAGGCCTGGAGAAGAGTGGCTTGAAAGCTTTCTAGTGGAAAAGGATCTGGGATTGCTGGTTGACAGTGGCTGAACATGAGCCAGGAGTGTGCCCAGGTGGTCAAGAAGGCCAATAACATCCTGGTCTGTCACAGAAATAGTGTGATCAACAGGACTAGGGAAGTGATTGCCCTTCTGTACTTGGTACTGGTGAGGCCACACCTTGAAACCTATGTTCAGTTTTGAGTCCTTCAGTGCAAGAAAATCATTGAGGTGCTGGAGTGTGTCCAGAGAAGGGCAATGGAGCTGGTGAAGGGGCTGGAACAAAAGTTTTATGAAAGGCAACAGAGGGAGCTGGGGTTCTTTAGCCTGGAGAAAAGCAGGCTCAAGGGGGACCCTTATCACCCTCTACAACTACGTGAGAGACGTTGATCTCTTTTTCCAGATAACAAGTAATAGGGTGAGAGGAAACAGTCTCAATTTGCACTGGCGTGGGGGACATAAAAATTTCTTCACTGAAAGGGTGGTCAAACATTGGAGCAGGCAGCCAAGGGAAGTGGTTGAGTCACCAACTCTGAGTATTTAAAAGGTATTTAAAAGATATTTAGATGTGATGCTTAGGGATATCACTTAGTGGGACCTGGCCAAATTGGACTAAATGATTTGAATAGTCTAAAATGATTCTCTGATAGAGGCATCCTCAACACTGGATGTACAACCACGGCAACCTAGTTCCTTGATTTACAGAGGAGCTGTAATGGTGCTTTGTAAGGTCTTGTATGTTCTGTTGGAGGCATGCATGTATCAATACAATAAAATGCAAATCAAATTCATGTTGCCTGATCTGAGATGAGTGGATCTGCACACCAGAACTACTCAGGAAGGTACCTAGGTTTGTCTCCCTTTAAAGGTTTTTCACTAATGTCAGAACCTAGGGATTCTTGAGCACTGCTCCAGCTGATAAAGCCTTATGCTTTATAGAAAAAACGTTTTCTTCCTAAATGTCAGTTGCATTTGCTGATGTCTGTGGTTTATCATTAGGGAAATAGTGAAGGTGTATAAAAATTTGGGTTCTTTAACCAGATAGCATTGGTTTAACTTTCAGAAGATATGTATGAACAGAAGATAAATATGTGAAGAACTGGCCTGGATTATATGTCTGTACCTGAATGTCCCTGTGGGGAAAGTGGACAGAAAGACACCGACTGTCTTTCTAAAGCATTGCTAAGATTTGCTATCAAAAAAATGCAGGAGTGACAGGAAGGAAAGATCATCAATGACAGCTGAGCAGACTTTTAGTTAGGAAATGGTGTGATTATCCAGGTTGACATTTTTATTGCTTTATAAACTCATTTATTACCCATGTTATTTGTTTTGAGAACCAAAAAAAAAAAAAGGGAAAGGAGTTTGCAACAATCAGACTTAAGAGGCAAAGGCTGGCGTGAACATCATTTATAGGAAAGCTGATACAAGAAGGAGCAGAGAAGTTCCAGACTGCTGAGTCTCTGGGAAAGAGACCATCAGAAACCATTCTGCAGGCAAACTATGAGTGGCTGAAAACATCCATCTCTGCATATTTATTTATTTTCATGTAGTGTTGGACACCAAAGCTTTGACAGGGTCAGACTACAGGTTGGACCTCTCCAAGCTGATGTGTCCAAGGCACTGGAATGAACTCCGAGAGAGCCTGGCAAAGGCTTGTCTCTGCCGAGGTGTAGCAAACCCCTTCACAGGGATTTGGAGATGTAGCTCCTTCTGTATCCAGAGTAGCACTGGATAGACTTTTGTAAAATGTTTTGAAGTCTGACTGTGCCAGACCCTTGTGTCTGATGATTATGTTTGTTCAAGTTAGACCTCTGAGTTTGTAACAATGGAATTATCTATTTTTCAGAACAATTAACACAATGCTATTGTATGAGCTGAAGGTTGGAGGATTAATGTGGTTTTATCTACAAGGCACTTTTAAAGGCTAATTAAAAACCATTCAGTTTGCTTTGTACTAAATACTGAGAACATTTCACATTAGATGACTCTTGATCCTCTGAAGAGAGGGATAGAGAGAGAAATGAATGGAGGAAGAGAGAACTGGAGAAAGAATGAGCTGGTATGCAAATAAACAAATACATCATAGGGATGCAGTCAGTAGAAAGCAATAAAAAAATTAATTCTGGTAACACTAGAGATAAAATTGTCTCTTGGACCAGAGGGGCTTATCTAAAATATTAATCTCCATATATATTCAGTATTTGAAATTACAAGTTTTCCTTGTCAGAGGAAGAGAGATGGAGAGGAATAAAGAGAAGTGCTTCTCTCTTAGCATTATTTTAGAGATGTTTTTATCACCTAGTGTTTACAGAGCATCTCCTCCTCTCTCTCTCTTGTACCTGACAGGCTGTATATGGGGAAAGCCTGGTTAATGGGCCTTCTGTCAGAGATGGGTCTTCTGGGAGAAAGTATGCAAGAATATGGAGCAGAGGTGGCACTGGGGTGCCAGAAGGACCCTGGAGCAAAAGGAGCTGCCTGCTGGTACAGGGAAGGATGTGGGTGGTAGTGAGAAGGCAGCTTGCCCTGCAAACACCTTGGCTTCAGGGATTGCAAGTGTCAGGGGAAGCAAAATGAGACACAAAATCAGAGACATCCAGAGGCAATGCAGAATCTGAGAACCAGGGCAAGGATTTTATTTTCCATGCAGTGGTCTCTGCCTAGCCTTTTAAAGGGAAAAGGTAAGAAAACTGAAAGCTGTTTCCTGCTTTTGGATGTTTATCTATGCTGCTGCAGATTCAAGCACTTGGAGGTTCATTTTCTGTCTCTGTCCAAAGCATGTAAATACTATCAGACATTGAAGTGCCTCCTTTCAAAACTGGGTTATGCACTACTATTCTGTTGATCAAATATGGCAATTATTTCAGGCTTAAAACCTTTTAGGGGTAACAATAGGTGCTGCCAATCAAAGTTAGAAAGTACACATGCATTCAGAGCAAGCTGAACGAGGAATAACAGTAACATGTGTAGCTAGAATATATTATGGATTACCATCCTCTTACACAAAGGCTGGTAAACTCTTCAGAAAGCAGCAACCTACAGAGCTAATAAAAGGGATAGAAATGTGCGGATGTCTCGGTTTGTCTAATTTGTGTCTTTCTAGCATTGGTAGGATGACTCACTGGATTTAGCAACTGCTTGTGAAGATGAACATATTAATAACTTCATGCTGTAGCTTTGCCATAAAATGTAATCTTTTACAGTTCTGTATTCTCAAGTGGAATACAAGCTTAGAATCAGAATAAAATTAGAAAAGATATGTGAATTGTCAGCTTATTTTCTTTTTAAATCTGTGTTTGTACATATAAATATGCAACTTAACTTGGAAAAGAGTATTCCCTTTCTACCCCCTCTCTTCTCCAGTGGGTACAACTCCCTACTATAAAAGGCATTTAAATATGGGGCTACCAGGATAGTTCTCGAAGGTAATTTGTATATTTTTATATTGTACCAGAAAGAAACTACCATTTTTCTTCCCATCCATAAACACTTGAATAAGAAAGCTTATGCAGACCATGTAGGATTCAATGGCAAAGAAACCAGCTGCTTATTGACATTTGCATATGTAATCCACAATATTAGTAAACAAGGGGATATAGATCCTTTTGGCTTTTGATAGCATTCAACAGATTTGAATAATCAGAAAACAGAGCAAAAGGTTGCCTTGAGTATGTGGTAAATACAGCTGAATCTTTCAGTCCTATTTTTGACCTTTCTATGTGTTTTTAGGCACTATTCTAGTCTACAGAAAGGTTAATCTAAGTACTTGATGGCTTGTAGGGGGTTATATAGAAAAGTGAGTGACAAAGCAGCAAATAGAATGAGTGTTTCTAGGTATTCAGATGATGACCAAACCGCTAGATTGTTCATTTTTTTTTCTCCTTGATTTTAATGAGACAGTTTCACAGATTGTATCACTTAGTAGAAATATCTTTGCATTTGTGCATCAAACATACTTAGAAATTTACTGAAATAATGGGGGAAAAAATTACAAACTTTTTAGTGTAAACTAGACCCAAATGTTGATTTCTAATCTTATGGAAAAATCTAACTTTTTGTGCATGGCAATCAATTATGTTTAGAACATTCACTAATTTTAACTTTTAAAAAAATCTTTTTTGGGCATGAATAAAGCCTCAGAAAGGTAATTATATATTTTCTACCACATTTACTTGCTTGTTATGTTAATGTCTCTATTTATTACTTAAACTTAAAATGAGCTATATTTGTAAAATAATTCATGGAAAAAGCTACGCTCTCTGTTCAGTCTGTTCATACCATGCACCCTTTGAAACTACTTATGCTTTGGATTGATTTAATGTATAAGGAAAAGCAGTGTTTCTAATGTTTTTTGTAAAAATCCTAAGCTCATAGAACTGAAAATTACATGTATTATATATTTATATATATAATATGCATAAAATATGTATATATGTCATATGCAAAAATACAATATAATATAATAAATATAGACATATTACACATATATATAACTATATAAATATACTGTGATATATATCTCTATCTATGTATCCATATCTCCCACATGGATTCTTAAATGATAATGAATTACATACACCCGTATCTCAGGCTTGAAAGTGCTTATGCTAAATAGTCAGATGTTAACTACAGAGAAAGTCCAAGTTCAATTTCTTACCTGTTTTTTTAATTTCAGGGACAGCTGTCTTCTCATGTGCTTTCTCTTTTTTTCCTGTTTTTTCTAAGATTTAATTAAAGAAAGTAATTTACTATGCTAGAACGCTGAATCATACACTCAAATATGTAGTCAGCCAAGTCCTGGTGGGCACATGCTGAAAAAAGTGTGACTTATTTGGGAGTTTAGTTCAGATTATTCCCCTATAACATTTGCAGCCAACTAGCCACAGAGCAATCAGCTGAAAATGAAAATTAATCAGTATATGCATAAACTATGGATGATTTGGACCCTTAATAATTCATCAAAGGCTAGGTGAAAATCATCAGTGCATGAATGTGGCACCTTTTAGCTTAAGCTCCAGTAGCAATGAGATAATTAAAAAATAATGAATGACTTAAATATTTTCACATGAAACAAGACCTTAGCGGATTTTAGATGCTTCCTGGGAATGAATTATCAAAATATTATTTAGATGGATATCATAGCTTTGCAGTTTGGTCACTGCAAGTTTCAATTGTGATTCTATAAAATAAATAAATAAATGAATAAATTTAATGCATTTTTGGAAAGTGGTGTACCATGAATCTAGTGATATCTTCCATGAGTTTTGTGTACTGCAGTATCACTTTGTTCTACTATATACCAACTCCATTAAATTGTCTAAAAAGCTCATAGATGGCCACCAAAGAGACATTTTATTTGTCAGAAAATAAGTTCAGAAAATATTGGACACGGAACACATCAGACAGATACTGAAGAAGTAACATGCAAATAGTGACTAAGCAACTAAGAGAAGGACAATACAGAGCCAGAAGCATAGGAATAATACAATAGAAAACAAAGAGAAATGAGCCAGGAGTGTGAGTAAAAGCTGAATAAGGCCAGTGAGAAACATTTCCAACTCTTACCTTTCATTTTCGTTTCAGTCTTACTCTTTTTTTCATCAGTTTTCTTCTTTTCCTCTTTCCTCTCTAAAAAAGGAAACAGAAGTTCAGCTGACTATTTTTACATGTATACACACACAAGCCCCTATGTTTGTATGTGTATACACGTACATTTGTTTGTATGTGTATATACATTCACCAACTGCAGTATATTTAGATTTGATAAGCAGGTCACTTACTACCAACAACTCAGAAATACAGCTTAATACTCTGAGTGAATGTGGTGCTAAGGATAGAACTGGAACAAGTATGTACTCCAGATTATTACTTAAGTAACTACTAATTCAGGAAATTATGCCCATTAACATGGTGAAACTAAGAGTTTATTGTGGTGACTCCATAACCATGCACCTGTTCTGCTTCTTTTGTAAAGCCTAACTGAATGGCAGCAAAACTTGAAAGTGGTACTTGGGAACAAGTGTAGAATGTCATTAAAAGCCTGCATATACAATATGTCTTTATAACACCTTTTATGAATTGAATCTTTGAAACAGTCATTACAGGACTTCAGTTATTCACAGAGAGTTGTTGTTAAAACATCATCTACAAAAAAACATGACTTGTTCTTTTAAAAGCATCTGCCTCTATTTTGTCAATTAAAGAATATTTTTCCTTATTTTACAACAAGCTACAACAAATTAATTACTAATTTCATTAATGTGTTTAATTAGAAAATTGAGAGTTTAGCAGAGGGTATGAGGAAGCTGTAATTCTTACTTTTCCTTTGGGAAATGAATCCCTTTTTTGATGGGGAAAAATGCAAGAGTACAAGAGTAGTTAAACTAAGTGCTTTTTTAATTGCTCATCCATAAAAAGCCAAATTTGCTACCTTCAGCTTGTGCTGCATGGCTTTGGGTGTTGATGTAGTTATACATAGTGGAACTAAAATTTTGTGATGTTTTACTGACATATGTGGATAAGAAACCAAGTTTTACTATCTTACAAAAGAGAGAACCATAAACCTTGAAGTAAGTCTTTTCTTTAATTGAAAAATATTTAAGGTATGGAAATCTTTTCAGATCCAAGAAGCAAATATACTCCTATCCTTGCATAAAATTAACATGAAGATAAAGGAAATATAGTAAAAAAACCAACTTACTTTTCACTTCTCTAGGTACCACAATAGACTTTTCTTCTGCATGGAAAAATATATACAAATAAGGAAAAAAAAATTAAAATCTGTACAGCATCTTCTTAAACCAAAATAAATATGTTCAAGTTTGATTTTTGAAAAATTTAAAAATTGTTGGCTTTATAGAGTACATGAATTCCACAATCTGTCCATGGCTGTTTCCTAAATTTTTTATTTTGCCTATCATGGAGGTAATGTATTTACCAACATTCAGGGTCTCCCCAAACCACACTTGTGCTGATTTTCTGACTATAGGATTTAACATTAAGCATAATCTTGATGTGCTACAGCTCTTTCTTGTTTTAAACAGATTTGTTCAAGACATTTCCCTGGCTGTTGTCTTCAGAAAATGAAACAGAAAATCCTTACATGCATTCTGCAGAATGTTTCTCCCAGTGTTTTATGTGCTTAATTCTTCAGGAGTATGCTTTGTGATGCTCAGGTTTCTTAGGCACATATAGAGCATCAGAGCTGTGTTCATCCTCCACTAACTTGTTTGGAGCTTCATTTTCTTTTATATTTGAATATTTTTGTTATTGGGTATCTCTAGGATTCCAAGGAGTCTCTCTCTCTCTTTCTGACATGCTGTTCCAGAGACTTGTGGTAGGAACTAGGGTCTCTCCTCAAAATGGATTTCACATAAGCTATTCCACAGCTCCACTTTCCTGTGTCACCTGACTTTTCAGTGTTTCATTTCCATATGTAATGTTGATCTTTTCTAATTTCTGAAATGTGATTTGTTTATTAATTTGCTCACTCTGCCTGAATTAACCCAAACTGTTAAACATACCATTGTCAGTTACTGTTAGAAAAGAGTTTCCTTCTTCCTTTGTTCCAGTAGCCTTTACTCTAGTAACTGTAGCCTGAAGTGCTACCAGTACTTCTGTAATTTCCATTTTTCCAGTTAGACTGATTTTTTTTGCTTTCTTATACTTCTGGTGCTAAGTGATGTAGAGGAACAATTTGAAAGCCTGGGTCTTTACAACGAATAAGATTCTTTTTAACCCAAGACCATTTCTGCCTTTGAATTTCTGGAGTTTTGCATGCTTCTGGGGTCCAGAAAAGTCACATGAAATCTACCTTGAATTTCATAACAAGGTTCATATGTGTCTTGAGAGCCATGAGCTGAGTCATTGAGCTTTGAGAAGTACAGCTTTGTATGGAAACTGTACAGGAAGTAGTGGGAATTTTTAATGCAAATAACCTAAAACAAAGGCAACTACATTCCTGGCTACAGAGTCTTCATTACTGACTCATTCTACCAATTAATCCCACTGACAAAATTTTCTTCCATCAAACTCTCAAGCTGCGTTATTCAGAATGTCCAGGCAGCCTAGAGAACATCTTTATTCATTACGAAATTTCTGGAGGATGCTTACATAGAAGTATTAAAAGGAATGTGGCCCCTATTTCCCATTTGCACTGCCTAGTTGCAAGATATGCACTCTTGGTCAAGTTTGAGAAGAACAGTCACTGGGCTTCCATTGACATCTAAGCTGCTCCATTGCTGTCCCTCCCAGATACTACTGACAGAAGTTTATGTAAATGAGAGCGATGGACTTGGTGAATGGATATTATGGAGAGCTATTTCTGATTTAACGAAGTGATCCCATTTCTTGAATAAATTTATTTCCTCTCAATTTGAAGAGCTCACGTTTAGGATGTTGCATATTAAGTGTATATTTAACACCAGCAAAACTCTTAATTTCTGAATCAGTAAATGCAGTGGGCTTTCCTCAGGTATCTACACAGCTAAATTAAGAGGCAGAGCAAGTAATTAAATAGGAACTTAACAAGTCTTCTGCGCTGTAAAATATGAACCCCATCTGTTAATTGAAAGGACTTAGTTTTTTATCTCAGAACAGTAACAGAACTACAAATGACCACGGATCAATTGCATAAAGAGGGACCATAATATCCACAAACTGTGGGTTACACAAGGAAACACGAGGTGCTTTTAATGATTCCACATTGACGACAATATGGAATTCAAGTGCAATTGAGCACTGAAAAATCTATTGTTATTGCTCCTGCTTCTAGGTAATGTAACTAATGGTATTTTTTTTTTCACCAGGAGTGCTAGTCCTAAACTAGGATAGGATGTAAGACATATGGGTACAAAAAGACCTCATCTTCAAAAGCCTGCAATATCTTTACAAGAGTGAAATAAGGGTATATGCAGCTGGCAGAGTACATGACAGAATCAGGAGTGCAACGCAAGCAATGGACTTTTCACTTAGTCAAGGCTTTTTTTTCTATAGACTCTTGTAGAAGTTGAGCTTTATGTAGTATAAGAAGTAAAGTGATCATAAGAAGTGTTAATTAAAGCAGTGATGTACTACTAAATGGGAAATTCAGGTAAATTTATTTTCCTGGGTGAAAAATAAAAAGAAGCAGCATGGAATAGTTTTCTTGAGAAGTGACTGGATTGAAGAGAACAGCCTTTAGAGCAAAGAAACATCTAAGATGGAATTATTTATTTTTGAATAAGGAGTGAAGGACCGAGGCCAGTGGAAATCCAAGTAAGATTCAACAAAGACCAAGAAAGAGGTGTTTCAATCTGAATTGCCTTTATTCATCTTGGACAATGTCTTTGTGTTGTTCTCATGGAACAGAAACTAATTCTTGGACAACAGTGGGAGAGGAGATAACAGAAGCATGTTAACAATGCAGCACTTGAAAACAGGCCTTATGAGACTGGTGTGCTATGGTGCCAGCACTGAGTGGAATCTAAATTTAGGGATGCTCATGAGTTACTGGGCATAGTGTCATGGGAATATTGCACAGGAACTGGAAGAAGAAGGTGCTCTAAGAGTTTCTTCTCTGAATTGCTCCTGATGGTTCATGTGCTTATGGAAAGACTGACTCAAAGGAATTGTCAGCTCATCACATCCTCTCTGAGAAACTGAGGTAAGGAGGGAAACAAAATACAGCCACGGATTCCTTCTTGTGGAGAGGCATGCATACAGCAAACACTAACTAGTGGGACTGAATGCCAGAAGTTTGGAGATGTTTTGGTTCACCTAAGCTTTCTTAAGTTCAGATACTTATACAGGGCTTATCCGCATTTATCTAAAACCCTGTTACCAGGAAATCTCAGGAGAAAAGGTCTTGTGAGAGACTTTGGATATTGCCTGACTTTGTGAAATATTACAACAACTTTTCTTGCCTACTGATTCTCATCCTGGCAGAACTAAAGAGCAACAGAGATGCATATATGCACTTACATATAACCAGAACAAAACAAACATTTACGTAGCTTTTCTTGAGAAACAATAATTCAGACTGAACACAATAACTTCATTCCAGCTGAAACTTTATTCTGTTTTTCTCCAAGCAGCTCTGTACATCTTAAGTTGTCACTGACATAATTTTAAAGGACCATTCCTTATTAATTTTGAAGAGATTACAGTTGTTCTTTGTTTTACTGGTGACTGAAATACTTTCCCTGCTGAACTCATTGAAAGTTTTGCTGTTGATTTCAGTGGAATTTGGATACCCTTTTAAATATTAGAATACTTGCTTGTGTTTCAGTTTTTGATGATATTTCTTTCCCCTTTGTGTTTTGCTTAGAGTGGAGACTGACAGTGGTTGGTCAGTTGCACTTTTGATTCTAAACAATTTAACACATTCACACAATAAGGCCACTTTAGGGTTACAAAGCCTCTGGAGGAATAAAAAACAATGCAAGGAAATATTTTTGGTTAGTTTAGAATGTAGTGGAAACCCATACTTTTAAGATTAAATCTAAATTTCAATTAAAAATTTATCTCAGCCCTCTCTTCAAAAAAAAAAAAAAAAAATCCCTTTCTGTGTCCTTGTTGGTCCAGTTATTTTCTCTATGAGAAATAATTCTCTTTAGATTCAGTCAAACTACTGAAAGGTCAAGAAAGAT